CTGGTTCACGGGTAAAGCATCAATCGCGTTCTGGCTGTGGCCGTTGGCATCAAGCTTTCAGGGAAGACCGAGCTTGATTGGACGATGGCATGTACTTGTCCAATGAAAAGTCGAAGATGTTAATGTTGCACTAGATTTGGTGAAGAGACCTTGCTTAATGTGTGTTTGGCAGCCCATTGTTCTATTTCGGTCCATTGGGGCCCTAGAACCAAGGGAAGCCGCCTCTTCAAAAATCCTTTCCCAACTCAGCCCTCAGAGCCCTAGATCCAGAATGCAAATACCACATCCTAAACCTGAAGCCGACCAGATTCATAAGATTCTTATTTGAAACCTGGAAATCATAGCCTGAATCATTTGGGCGAAGGGGGTAGCAGACCCCTGGGCCTGGAATAAATCCCATCTTTTGGAGACCTTCTTTAATCTGTGCATCCCTGGGCCCCCGCAAGTTTTGAGGCCCCAAACCTTTGATCTCAAAACGCAACTGTTAAGAATCCTCTTCCCAGTCGAATCCTCAAGGCTTGCTTTATGGCTGGTACTACTAATACTACTTATTCTAATACTACCAGTACGCGTACTTACAGTAATAATAAGTAGAAAAATACTAATAACCAAATCTCGTACCGTTCTCCTTGACCATTGGCATGTGCTGAGACGTGTAGAAAGACATGCATTGGCTTTTCATTTCCAGAGACAGTTGCATGCAAGCGTGTTCATTTCCCGCCCACCTGGCCGACGGTCGTCCGCTCCAGGTGATCCTCAGGATTGCAAACTCCCAGCTCAGGAACATCTTGGGACTTTGCGGTGCATCCCTGTAGGGACAGGGAACTTGGATTGTGTGGAGCAGCTTAGGTCCTTTATCTGGGGACAGCGGCCTCTGAGCTGTTGTGCCGCGCGTTTGGAGGATCTGTTGAACCATGTTGAAACCTTTTTCCTCAAGCAGAACCCCTGAGTTTTGACAATGACAGAGAATTGTTCAAGGAAGCCACCGCCTGCTTTGCAAGTTGAGGCACGAAATTTGGCAGGGAAGGCACCGTTGAGATAGCCTCCAGGCAGCTCTGTATCTCACGTGACCGCAGGTTGGCAAAATCTTCCCTACCCGCCTGGCTTCCATCCTCGGAATCTCCGGAGGGACCTGCAAAGTGACTACTGAGCCTGCTAAACCTCTTCCAGGCTATGATGCAGTTGAACTCACAATCTTTAGGTGAGGATGCGTTCTGCAAGCTGCTTGAACTTTGCAAGGCTGGCAAAGCTGGGGTTCTGAAAGGTTGTGGGGATTTGTCGTCTCCATGAATATCTGAGTTTGCAAGCCCGAGCCCAGTGCGCGCCTGCTGGGTCCACCGCCTTGGCTGCAGTCTTTCGTGCTAAACTTTTGCATTGGCACCAAGTCTGCCATGAAATTATCCAGCGAGTCACGCCAGTGCTAAGATTCTACAAAGGTAGGGCATGTGCAGCCCGAGGGGCACCCTGGAGACGAAGCTCTGGTGATATCACCAATCTTGATCCTTGATGCTCGGGGAAGGCCTTGCAGCGTGTGAATCGGAAGGGGAAGGTGGTCAAATTGCATGCTGCTACATTCTGGTCTTTGGGTGGCCTCAAAGGCTGGAAGCGTCCTCAGGACCCAGGAGCGATCCTTCTGTAAAGTTAAAAACCACTTTCCGCAGTACATCAGAAACCCTGCCGTGCTGTAACCTTACGCCATACCCGCTAGCTGACAAGCCTCAAGATTGAACCGAGCATGCAATGATTTTGCAAGCGTCCTCCGCAGCTAGGACTAGCAGTGATGCTGTTCGTTGTGCAGAGCAGGGTGTGCTTCGTACGTTGGATATTCACAGCGTGCGGATGCGGGGGGTGTTGCAAAGCCTGCTGCAATATTTGAACTCAAAACCCTCCATCTTCTGCCTCCTTGGCAGGGCTGTGTAGCTATGAGAGTCACTCAGATCCATGCTTTGACTGCGAGGATGCACAGCTGTAAACATTGTCAGCTTTGTCTTGAGATCAAGTCCGGAGGGCCTCGAGGATCTGTGCCCGAAAGTCTCTCCATGCGTCCTGATTAATTACTTGCAGGTTGCAGCCTTGCCAAGGTATAGGCAAGGTAAGTGATCCAAACAATTCTCCAAACTAAGATCACTCCAAAAACCACAGGCTTGGATCTTGATGTCCTCCAAGACTGTCTCGAGCCGCTCGCGCTCGCAAGCGCTCATGACCTGGCCTACGGCGCTGAAAAGGTGAGCGGCGCAGGTCGCTTCTTCAATGCAAGTATTGGTTGGAGTATGTGGGTTCACCATGGCCAACCATCTCAAACATAAGGCATGGGCTGCATGGTGACGCGGGTCCGTTTACACCTCACGAAGTCCAGGCCTTGCGGCCCTGATGCAGCCTCCCGCTAGGCGCAGAGCAACAGCGCTGGCAAAAGGGACAAAGCTAAGCAAGTTTTTCTTGTAGGCTGGAGCTTGCAAAGCCTGAAAGCAGTTGCATTTGCTTCGTGTCTGGGGCAGTTTTGTTGAAGGTTGAACATAGTGTGGATGCTTTCAGCAGATGGCAGAGCTGTAACGATTGTGGCACATCGTCAAGCAACCTCTAGCTAAAATAAGCCACCCCAGCTATATGGATCTGTATGCTCAGGCACAAACGTCTTGATTCTGTGCGTGCTTTGACAGCTTGAGAAGCAAAGTGGCGTGGTCGTGAATTCACTTGCAATACCGGTGAGTGCTGCTCATGGCCCTCAGCTGCGAGATGTCAACTAAGGGGCACTGCGCACAGAAGAATACATGCCCTCAAGTACACCGAGGCTCTACTTTTCTGCTTCAAGCGTTCTCCGAGTTCTCTTATGGTACCGCTGAATGCTGGTGGGTGGCCCAAGTTTCGCATGCCTAAAGTCGGGCTAAAAGCCTTAACCAGCCTAGACCCCAAGCATGTTGACGGTTCGGTAACGTGCAGCTGTTTTTTGGACAGTTGCCTTGAGTCCTTGAGTGCTGATCGAAGGCTTAAGAAAACCTGCTCGTCTTCTGCATTCAATTCAGTAACGGCTGTCATGATCCAGATAACTGCATTCGACGGGTTTTGTCTGCCTTGGGACTTGGATCCAGCGAAACTTGTAGCCTCGTAGCGTGCCTTCGCAACTCTCTGGTCCAATCTGAAACACTTGGCTTCCTGCCCGGCTTGCACGCAGGTTAAAGACGAAGCCTACTCCTTCTCAGAAAGCTAGAGTTACTGACTTCCATCCCTGTCTTACATGTCAACATCTTTGCGCTGGCCATGCTAGGGCATCTTTCAACAAACAAATCCTGCTGTTCAAGAGGCACTGTGCCACAAAGATGGAATGCGATGGGAAACTCAGCCGCGCGGCTCTTGTCAGGCAAATCAGGTGATTATCATGCATCTTCGGCACATCCGCGTGACTGCCGTGTCCATCATCCCCTCCCGCCCGTGCATACCCCATTGACCACAAACAAGGTTCCAGGTGATCGCACGGTCTGGTTTCTACGACAAGATCCCAATGGTAAGCTGTGTCAGTTAAGGTCTTGGTTGCCCGGGGGGGAGGATCACAGCTCTGATGCCTGAAAGCACCAGCCGCATTGTGTGGTCCGCAACGGTCCTATTGATCTATCTCTGGCATTGCTGGGCAGAAAGCAGGTCAATGCCCTTTCCAGGTTTCCTACTTTGAAGTTAGACATAGCCAGGATGCACAGCTAGAAGTATATAAGAATCCATGGGAAGAGAATCAAAAGCTGGGCTCAACACGCAAATGCAAGGAGTGAAGGATGTGTCTAGAACACCAACTCAGCTTTGATCAAACCAACCTATGTAAGGCTGTGCAATGGTTCAGAAGATGCTTTGGCTACGTTAGTCAGTCCCCATATTCGCTGACAACAAGATTGTGAACCTCTCCTTGACCTTGGTGGTGCACCATCTGCTATCAGGGTTCGCAGTCTTGCGGACCCAACACTGTGGTAGGGAGCTGGGGCCTTTGGCCGACAGCATCCACACCTGAAATCTAAAGGAACGGGCGCAGAGGCGGATACAGGTTCTGTGCGTGGCGAGGATGCGAGGGACCTGCATTTCCATTCGAGCTAGGGTCATGGCTAGGGTCTTGTGACACAGGGAAGTAATACCTGGCGCTTGTGGTAACCGCCCCTTTTGGCAGCACGCCAGGAGAGGACCTTCTTGCTTGCTTCGTACAAGGGCCATTGCAAGATCTTCTCGTACAGGCGCATACATATAATCCTAATTGCAGGGCACGCTGGCACGTGTAACTCATAATCTTGGACTACAAATCCTTGGCTGAATGCCCCCCCGCAGGCACACTCAGATTTGAAGAGATGCCCGTCCGCAGTTGCAGAGGCTGCGCTCTTGGTGAGCCTGACTGCAGGCACACCTGTGGCTCGTTTCAACCTCATGGCTGGTGTCATGAAAACTTGGATTGGATGCTGGATGGAACTTTAGATCCAACATCCTTGACGCCGCTGCCTAGCATGGCACGCTGGAATTTTGCAGGAAGTCCAGGCCTCCTGGTTCTCCGCGGTTAGTTCATTTACAGCAGAGCCTTCCCGTGGGCTGTGGAAGCGACAGATAACCTGAACATCACAATGGGCACTGCTCAATTGGATGGAGCTTCGGGGTTGGAGGGACCTCAAAGAGCTGTGAAAGTCAGTTCCCTTTCAGGTGTCCAACCGTCGCATGGCAGACTGCGCCCACGTTCGACTAGAGAAACATGATCCAGTTGTGTTGGCTAATGCTGCCTCGGATTCGTGCGAGCATGCTAGAGTGAGCAGCAGTATTGCACCGATGAAACCTAAGGCCGTGATTTTGATAACAATGGCTGGTACCCCAGTCGTCGCCAGAACATCTAAGTGGTGTAGCTCAACGCAACGCTTCTTCTACTCGATCCTAGGGCGGAGTCCACAAATTGTGGGTGCAGTTTTCACGATCTGGCATCTCAACGAAAGTCCGTTGCTGCCAAGTGTGACTTCCCACCCCAATCACAAGCTTGCAAGAAAAAGCTAGAAACACACATCAACGTGAACAGCACCTGAGACCAGAAGCTTACCATACTCCTCCACCCGAAAATACCTGCCGGGAAGCGCAGCGAAGTCAGTCCACGACGCCCACGCACGAGCATCCAAAGTGAGAGACATCCCCCTTGCATCCCTTGTATGAAATGCTGGGCAAGTGCTGGGCAAGTGCTGGGCAAGCGGCCTCCAGGGCTGGAGAAGCTTCAAGACCGTGCTCTGAAACTCCCTCTCTTCTGCCTTGATTTCCTGAGACGAATTTCGAGCAAAGCCGATCATGTGCAACGAAGGACGCGACCATTGGGCCGCATGGGCCATGACAAAACTGAAGCATCCCCTACAGGTCTGTGTGGCGCAGTTGAGAATCCGTAGGGTGATCGACACACAGCACTGGTGGCCCAGAAGCTGCTGAATGATCCCTATAAATCTTTCCAAGTCTTTGCCAACATACACAGCAACTGTTCCCTCGGTTCAGAGAGGTGTCCACCAGCTGGTTCTGGATGGCTTTTGTTGCGAGCAGTGTTGCGACAGCATCGCTCTTTTTGACTTCTCCACGGATCTTCAAAAGCCCCTCAGGCAGCAAATCAGATAGCTTCCAGCCATGCTTTACAGGCAGTTTCATGGCGAGATTCCCGCGACTAAGCTGGAACAGAAACCACTCCTTCTCAAAGCAACAACTGGAATAATTTCTTGGAGAGGGCCCAAACTCACGACAATGACTTTGCGGTTGACTGTTGGGGGCAAAGTTTTTTGATTTTGAAATCCGCGCTGCTGCAGCAGCAGAAGAAAAGTGACGCCTGCACGAGCTCTGTCACGTGAAGCGTTCCGCTGCCGTCGGCATCAATGATCTGTGCAGGGCCAGGGCTTCATGCAAAGGATCCCATCAATTCACAAGGTGAAGCAGCTGAGTGTAGAGTTCTGCTCTGCCATTGTGAAGCCATAAGCGCAGAATACCTATCCTGAATCACTGTGGGTTTTCGGGTGAGCAAGGGTTGCACCACAACTTGGCAAAGAAGACCTCAGGAAAAAGGCTGATGCACAGCTCTGGGCACCTGACACTTCGAGAACTTTGCTTAGCCGTAAGCACTTGAAACCCCAGGCCTCGAACAAGTTGGCACGATCATGTGGGAGCTCCAGCTCATCCATGAGGAATTGCACTGACTGATCCTGTCGTCAGATGAAGCAACTTTCGATTTTGAGGGTTCAGAAACTCAGGATTTCAAGTGCTCGAATGAGCATCACGTAAACTACGGCATCGATGACTCACAGCAGAAACGCCGCTGTGCTTGAGACTAAGGACTGCTGATGGGGCTTACCGGCTTACAGGGCGCATAGGAATCGCACATACAGATAGGCACTTAGTGCCAAAAATGACCGGGAGACTGCCAGCTCAAACAATGTCAACCGTGAAGCTCTTCTGGATTGCTCCACCTATGCCCAGCCTGGATGACCAAAAGGAACAACTCCTTTGTGATCGCCTTGCAGCGGAGCTTGCAAAGTAAGCTCTACAGAAGGCTCTGTGCACTGTGCTGCATCGCAAACTTACGTTGCTCAGCATGAACGCCTGGACTGGCTAGCGTGTTGACCTGTTTGGTGTAACAGCTGAGGCAAGCACGATGTGGCCGTGAATGTCCTCATCCGTGAAGTTGGACTCCATCGGGCTGAAGTCAAGGGACTTCTTCGTAGTCTGAGATCAGGCAGAGACTTCTGTGTTAGTCTTTAATACGGCCAAGGCTGCATGAAGTGGTATGCCGGCACCACCTTACCCGGCTGTCACAAGATGAAGGAAACATCCCCGTAAGTCCGTCCCTGAAAATGCTGCGCATACCTGGCTCTGCATGTACCCCTTGCAACTGAAGACGAAATTACCACTGCTTGCGCCGGCGCTGCCGGCTCGTCCAGATCTTGGAACTGCCGGTATGCTGCCGCAAACTTCTTCAACAGCTCACCTCGTGCTACGGCTTGAGAAGCATTTGCAGCATGGAGTTTGCGTGACAGCTTAAGATACCGTTCTGGCAATCCAAGAGTGACTTATTCTACACACTAAAACGCCCCATTGAAACCAACAGCAGCAATCATGACAAACAGAACGCGGCCGTCTGCTTGCACCGCTGGCATTGCACTGTCAAGGGAGCTTTTGACGAACAAAGGCCAAGCTGCGTGTCGTGCGCGCAATTCTGATCGACTCGCGTGAGTGCTGCTCGGCGGTGACGGCCTCGGACTCCTGTCGGGTAAGCGAGTGTAGAAACCGTGCCCCAAATCCATCTGCAGCCATTGAATTCTTCTGAAGAAGCACTGCCGCACTTCAATGCCCTCATCAGGTCTATTCAACCTGAGGGAGTCCTTGGCAGCTCTCATCGTGATGTCGACGTAAACCTTTGTTGGGTGCACGAGCCGAAGCCGAGCGGATGACAACCCGCTAGCCCTTTAATTGCGGCAAGAAGACATCAGGTCCACCCCACAACAGCTCAAATCTCAACCTGAAACACCAAAGAGTCTGATATAAGCCTAAACCTTGCGGAGGACTGACTGACCTACTCCCCCGAAGCAGGATCCGTACGAGGACTTTCTGTCCGCGTGACCGCCAGGATAACATTGTAGATACCTCGGCTCCGAAAGAACCAGACCGGCTTTCAGGTGGGACCTGGACTGGACTCCACTTTCTCTAAGCTTCGAGGATGGGCTTTTCTTGCGGCAAGCTCCATGCATGTGTTTCATCTAGGTTAGGCAGAAACTCAACAACTATGAGGCAAATTTAAAAGATACCAGAAGAATGCAATGCGTTCCATTTTGCCAAGTATTCGCACTCCTGTACCATCCTCACGAATTCGACTCAGCTGGCATTGTCAGCACGGTTCCACTTTGAGGCTGTGCACAAAGGTTATCTAGCGAGTTTCTGATGAAACCTTCCGGAAAAGAGTTCGGCCGGAGACAACTTGAGGTGCTGAACATCTAGGGTCCGCCAAAGAAATCGGCAGGATCCCATGCAGTTTTCAAGCTATGTCCTTCAAGAAGTGGAGATGTAGATTTTGCATCAAAAGCTGTTTTTATGTGAAATCCAGACTTGTCGAGCGGCCCAGGGAGACGAGCATGTAGCCTGCGCAAGGCGGCAGCTCTGCAATTACCATTCCATGACCATCCATCGCCTATAAAGATGATGAGGCTTTCAGGTTGCAGCCTTGCTGCCGGCCGTCTTACTGGCCGGCAAAGAAGCCAACTAGCCAGCATCGCCTTAAACCCTAGGGTTTGGGATGCGGTGTGAAGCCTCACTGTCACAAAGCCTTAGGACATAATTTGCGGAATGGCAAGCTGCACATGACTGTCGGGCGAAACAGCTGTCTAGTCGAGGATGATGGAGAAGGATGCACAGTGAGGGACATCCGTCTATGAGATACCGGAGATCTGCAATGCAAAGGGAACGGTTTTCCCCCAGATTCCCAAGTTCAGCATGTTGAAGCTTCAACGTGAGCGGCTTTGGCGAACACGTAGCACACCGCTTCCTGACAAGACTTCACGGAATCTCATTCGCAGCCAGACCCACACCACTTCAAAGCCAAGCAGCAAACCACATAGCCGAGGACAAACGGCAAGCCATGCGACTCTTCTAGTACAGCCGCAATTGGCAGACCTTCAGCAGAACTACGAAGCTTGCATTGCCAAACTGTCCAAGCCGGCTTCCGAAATGCCAAAGACCCTTCTATGCTCTCCTCTTTTGCAACTACGGGGATTCCAAGGCAGCAAGCAGCATCCCACTGTTGTCTTCTTTCGGTGCCAGATATTTTTCTTTGCCGAGGGGCCAACAGACAATGCTACTAATAATATTAATAATATGGAGGCGGCTGCCACCAGGATGCCACGTACGCAGAGCAAACTGACAAACAGAGAACAAAGCGGTGAAGCCGCCTGGAGTCCTACAGGCTACACATGTAGCGGTATCATGGTGAGGTCTACGCTTGGAGGTCGCCACATTTTCAAACCGCTGAAACGCTTGCAGAACAGCGTTAGGGCACTGCGTAAACAACTCACGACAAGCCACCTGACGCTGCGAAGCACTCCCCCGAGAAGCATCTGAAGGCCGTAAACATGGACCTAGGCCGCAATTTGCACCGATACCAGTGCATTCGAATTACTATGATGAAGCCCGGAGAAAATATACGGACGCGTACCATGTCCGTATCGGCAAAAAGTGCGAAACTCGAGCAGCCGCTTTGCTGCCATGGGCTAAGCAGGCCTTTCGTAGGTCTTGGTAAGCGCGCACATGTAGTTCCTATTCCCTTTTGGAGCCTTGAAGGCGGAAAATGACCTGGGATCAGTTGGTTCCTTGAAGCTACCGGGAAGGTCCCAGACTGCAAGCCTCCCTGCTGTGACAATTACTTGTTTTGCTGGTCCTTGATTAGGAACACCTCTTCAGTTGCTCATCCTCCCAATTCTCGTACAAGCCTGCAGAATCGAGAGCAGAAAAAAGGCGGGCTGCATGGTCCCAAAACTTCAAGCAATGGCTTGGGGGCCATCTTGAGGGGGCACTTCAGTAGGAACGAAGCGTTTCAAATGACGTCTTGGATTCGGGGCAGTACTTGGGCCGTCTAATTCAGCGCCCATGGCAGCCCAGCAGCGAAGGGATGTTCTGGAAGTGGCCGGTTAGCCCCATCTCTGCAACCAGCTTATCCTGCAACTGAGCATTCTGCTGAGGAGTTAGTTGGGAAATCCGGAACCAGACATGAGCTTTTAAGACGTAGCTGCAGTAAAGTCTACCCCGCAACAAAGACATGACCTACCAAACTCCAAGCTTGTAAGTTACCTGACGTGATGCAAAACCTTACTAAGGCCGGCATCATAGCGCTCGTGAATCAAATCCTTGAATGGATTCGCTTCTTAGGCACTGGAACGCGCCTGACTGTGGAAGCCTTGCTCGTAATACGGAGCAAAACCCTCAGACCCCTCGCTCTGTCCCGACCAATGGTCATCGTAGCGAAGCCCGCAATGACCTTGGACTGGATGCACTCCAAATTGTGTCCAGCCATGCTCTGGCAGCCTCTTATGACCAAACTGGCATCAAACCTCCTCAGTGTGTTGAAAGAAGGGCCTAATCGCCTGCATACTTCCATGAAGCCTCTCACTGCAGACATCCTAGGCCGCCCTTTCCAGATTCTTGCCAAGTTGCATACAGAACGGCAAATAGCAAGGCAAACGAGAGGAAAAGAGTACCTGGCGCCGCAAGGTAGAAGCTTCATGGATGACTGTGGTTCCGACAGGATCGAGATCTCGTTACGAACAGATGAAGATCCAGGTGTTCAAGCAATCTGGGGCATGTCTTGGTCATGCACGCCATCGGTGGCTCTCTGAAGAAATCAATGTCGAACATCTGTCTGCCATCCAAGGCGCGGAAACCGCCTACGAGGCCCTTGACCATTAAGCGCAGTTCCTTCCAGGGCATGAGGGATCTAAACACTTGATGTTCTAGAAATGCCCTAGAACTACATCCGGGACTCTACCGTGGTTATACAAGTGTCATTCTGAGTGTAAACATGGGGATCATCTAGCAACGCGAGCAAAAGGCAACTTGAGCTACCTGAAGCTCGAATTTATATTCTGGGAAGGCTCCGTTGATGGAACGAATGCAAAGGACGCGGACGGGTCCAGTGGATGGAAACAATAATGCAGAGTACCCGTACCATTTCTGCAATAGTTTGTATCTGGTTTGCCATGGTTTGCCGCTATCCAATCGAGACGGCTTGTCAAGGAAAGTGAACTCGGTGTTGAAGCTTGTCTTTGCATGAGCTACCTGCAACAGGAAGTGTACCAAAGTCTGCCTTCATCAGCTTAAGATAGACAACTGCTTGCAGGCTTGGCCTTTATTCAGTGAGGTCAGTCTTAGTGAAAACTCGACCCTGAAGCTACAGCCTGGACAGGCAAAAGAGCGTGCCTTCATGTACTTCAGTCTGAAGACTTTGACCTCCAAGAGCGCAAGATATTGACGGCTCGCGCACACGCTCTCCCAGCATCAATGGAACCACGCTATTTAAAGAAGTCGTACTGCGGAAACTAGGACATTGGAGTTGGCAAGCTGGCGGGCATCTCTGTCTGTCAAGAAAACTTGCATGCTTTTGGGATATGACCGCTCAGTACGATTGGTCCGGAACAAAGGGCCGTTCCAGACCCCTCCATTCCAGACCAGCGAATGCAATATCTCAAAATCGCTGTTGCACTGGGTGTCCGTTCCATGCCCTTTCTACACCGGTTCCATACGAGTTACAGACCAAACAAAATATTTAGCACATACTCACCCAGTATCACTTGCGGGAACCAGCAAGAGTCAGTCATCGTTCCGGACCCTTCGGATCAAGTGTGCGATCCACACCCTCAGGATCAAACAACATGGCAACCTGCACACGGAGCACGTGGTTTTGATCAGGAGCCAATATGTCATTGCTGACGTAGATGCTGTGCTGAGCTAATGCATCTGCTCGTCTTTACTTCAACTTGCATGTGGCTAGCTACCCTCACTTTGGCAAAAACTGTGATTGCATAGGAGTCGTCATTCCCCCATCGCGCTTCACTAGTTGACACTGCAGGATCCCGAAGCTGAGGCGTTGGCTACTCGTACCAGCCGGATCAGCCGGCAGAATCTGAGAAGCGAAGCTCCAAAGAAGTCCTCAGGTACAGGTTGCAATGCTTTGCTGTCTCGTTTTTTTGAAACGGCCCTCATGTTACTGGTTGTGCCAAATCATTTAAACTTCCACTAAGCCTGGGCTACGAATTACAGTCCCAGGTTCAGATTGCGTCTGCACCGCAACTTCCACGACGATGTCCGTCATGCCAGTAAGTAAAAGAAAGAGATCCTCAGCTCCAACGCAACCTTCGTATACACTTTCACGTGCATTTGCTGCAATGCAAACAGCCATTTGTATTCAAATCCCATCTTGCTGACTTCTGCTCTACCTACCACGCTCAGCCCGACAAGCTGCTGTCTGCATGACAGTATGTTAATTAATCTTCGAATACTTTCAGCCGCCTGCAACTAGCCTACCTGGACATCAGACTATCTGGGCTGCATTGTCATGGGCACTGTTATGTTTATCTATGCCAAGTGTAAACTTAGTTTGGGCAGTCTGATGTCTCTCGACAATGAAAGACTTTTGTGTGACCTGATCTTGACATTTGTTCGAGCCGCTTGGTCCTCATGTCCAACTGAAGTCTATGACCCGGCTTTTGGGAAAGCGTTATCTTGCACTTTTGATCTGTCACGAGACACATTGCTTGCTGCCTCGTATGGATCTTGTGAAGCTATTGACCGCACCCAGCAGTTGAACATTTTCGAGCTGGGTAGAGCCGCCAAAGATGAACATGTATCATCGACACATCAGAGCATTAATACCTCGCTGCCTGTTGAGGTTTCGGATTTATTGTATCCATGCAATGATTGTGAAGCTCCACAGGGCACTTTGCTACCACAAGTGAGCCGCAGAGCGCAGTCTGCCATGTGCGCCGTTTCCTGTAATTTTGCAAGCCGGGTCGCGAAGTAATTCCAGGCCCAGTCGGTACCACAGAAGTAGTTCTGCCAGCAATTGAATTACTTCTTTGCTGGACGAGTCTTGCTGCCCTCAAACCAGGTTTGGACCATACAGACTCCAGATTAACGCCACAGTGAGTAGCCCGGTAAGGTCTTCAGAGGTGACACTGTGACTATTTCGTTACGCTCTAGGAGAGAGTAAAAGCTTGAAAAGCATCTGTGGTGTCTCGCGGCAAAGACTCTCGTTGCAAGAAGCGTGCCTGTAGACTTTCAGATGGGACTGTTGCAGGCCCGTCAAAAACGATAAGGCCCAGTACAAAGCTTCTCAACAGAAGCCCACATTAGTTTTCAAGAGCTGAAGGTGCGGTAGGACAGTCCTTGATCCCGGATAGGTGAACGCGAAAGCAGCACTCAATGATCAGAACCACGGCAAAGATCACCTGCAAGCTCAGGCAACAAATCAAGAATCCAGGCTTGCATACCAAACTTGCGGGAATGCGAGCAGCTCCAGTCTGCCCTGCTGCATGCTTTGCAAGTTATAGCTCCAGCCTAAGCTGACGATCTAGAGACGGTTGATCACGACTTGCTCCGTACATATCTGACTCGTAATGAGCTGCCCCCCAAGGGCAGCATTGCAAAGTGTCTCTTGTTTCAAGTCCATGGCAGTCTATTCACATGCTTTCGACCAGAATAGGGCCTCAAGGTATATCCAGCCGCTCCAGTCCTGCACTGACACCCAGAGCTTCAAACATTGGAGTGCCACATCTGAGGCTGGCATAATTAACTAATCTGGTCTGCCAATAATGAATAGACACGGAGCAGCAGAATCCATTGATTCAGCACGTCCTGCTCTTTGCTGTCAGCCCACCCTGTCACCAGTGGACATCCTACTTGCGGGAGTCCTCGTAGCTGGGGTCCGTCTGGAATCCGATCATGATACCGTTCGCCTGAAGTGTTGCAAACGTGCTTTGAGTTGCTGCCGCAGCTAGTGGTGGCCAAGGCACAATGATCAACACTGCGACGAAAGGCTCGATGAAAATCAGAGGATGTATTTTTTCCTCCGATGGGCAGGATGTCTGGCATGTTGGTCCAAGCGGGAGGCCGACATATGCCAGGCTTGAACGCAATCCAGTGATATTATAGCCAAGACATCATTGTGCTACAAACGCAACCGACCCTGCAGCTGCTTTCGAGGGTTATTGCGGACCAAGGACTGGTGGAGCTGCCAGATCATTGATCCGCACCTTTGCTGAAGTTAGTTGGAAGAGTTTCTGGCGACCTGGCCTCCGATGGACAATCTTGTTTAAACAGACCGGAGTGGATGTTGGCTTGTGTGGGGGCCATCTGCCCGTAGACAATCTCTTCACCAAAGGTTGATCAGCACGTTGAAGTTTGGGCTATGAACAAGAGCTAGGTACTAAAGTTTTTCAGCGGGGCCATTTGGTGAGGGATTTGGTAAACAGCCTGCACCAAAAACACAGATCTAAGTTGAACTACTTGCAAACAAAGTGGCAAATGTTAGCTCGGCCACGAGCCGATTTGTGTCTCCTGCTAGAAGGATTTCCTTCATCGCCTGCGCGCTATGCTCATGGCAGCGGTGGTGTGACTGGTAGAAGCTGAATTTTGAGTAGAGCTAGCAGAGGCCATGTGCTACTACTGTGTACTTCTACCACCAGTGAAGGAGCAAAAGCAGCACGAGGACCACCCGCTAACAGCAGAAGTGGTGGGGTGGCGGTGGCGGTGGCGGTGGCGGCGGCGGCGGTGGTGATGCTGGTGCTGGTGCTGGTGCTGGTGCTGGTGCTGGTGGTGCTGGTGGTGCTGGTGGTGCTGGTGCTGGTGCTGGTGGTGCTGATGGTGGTGGCTGGTGGTGGTGCTGGTGCTGCTGGTGCTGGTGCTGGTGCCGGTGCCGGTGCTGCTGCTGGTGCTGCTGCTGGTGCTGGTGCTGGTGCTGGTTCTGGTGCCGCTGCTGGTGCTGGTGCTGGGTCTGGTGCTGGTGGTGGTGGCGGCGGCGGCGGCGGCGGCGGCGGTGGCGGCGGTGGTGTGGTTTTGGTGGTGCTGGTGCTGGTGCTGGTGGTGGTGGCGCTGGTGCCGGCTGCAGGTGGCGTTAGCGGCAGTGGTGGGGTCGCCTTGGTGGCGCGGTGGCAGTGGAGTATTACTGCTACTGCTGCTGCTACTACTACCAGGACGTCTACTACGCAGCAGCACTACCAACAGCATCATGTGTTGTGCGGTGGTGTAGATGCGCGTGGTCATTGTGGTGGTGGTGGTGGCAGCGGCGGTGATGGTGGCAGTGGCGTGAGCTCAGGCGATGGCAGCACCAGGGCTGATGCTGAGAATGCTCGGACGGAACGCCCATGGACACTTGGAATGTTGCTCAGAAGGAGACGTCCAATACCGTTGTGCCAGCAGTGTGCGCAGACACTTGCACTTAGTGGCTCGCTGACTCAAAGCTTTTCTACTCGATTCACCCTTTTTGTTCAAAGTGCTGCTGTTCTTCTTGAGTTGGCACGGACCTACGTGCCTGAAACTGAGCCATCATGCCATGGCCGAAGACTTTCTTGGGCAACTCCTTGTCCCTGCAGCAGGCTTGTGGCTCGAGGACGGCGTTCCAGGTAGAATGGTATCCAATACAAAAAAGTAACTCCATAATTCAATTGCAACGTGGTTACCTGCCCAGCTGTAGCTCTGACTTGATCCTCATGGTCTTTAATGGGAGGACTGCTTCGGCTGAGCACCCCTGCAAACTGCGCAGCCTTGTCCGTCCTGCTGTTCCATTTTCAAGGTCAGCAGTGGGAGTGCGTTTGGGGTCTCTCCTGCTGCCCTTTGCAGATCTGCGACTTCATGCAACTCGGAATCGACTAGCGGAATCTGAGACCAAGGCTTTCTGACCAAGATGTCCATCAATGGCTTCAGCGGGACGGCATTCATGTTCCTGGAGAACAGCACGGTCGGGTAGGAGCGGGCCAATCGTGTGCCCGAATCTGCAGAAGTCTTCGCTTACTGCAAAATGATCCCTCACCATCTAGAACAGCCTCATAGAGCAAGGGACCAGGTTTTTTCTGTGTTGTTGCTTGCCACGATGTCATGTTCATCTTTGCGGACCCCGCCGCTACCGAGCACGCTGTGGGTCCAAAACGATTCAACCCCATTCCTGCCTTTGGGACTCCCAACACGGTACTGACGTCCTTCAAATCAAATCAGCTTTATGTCAAACAAAAAGTTCACGGTTGGAACTCCTTCTACAACAAAGACCCTAGCCTAGAATCGCCCCTCCAGGAGGCCAAGTTGTCCTATCATCTAGTGCCAGCATTCTCATGCGAACTGCGTGAGTCCCCCGCTAATATGATGGACTTGAACAAGGTATTGCATGGTAAATCTTGGTCCGGACTTGACATCTTTTTTCCATGGCTTTCATGCAAACAGGTGCCGATCTACACTGCAAGTGAAGTGCCAAGGCTGCGATGGCATGGCACAGATACTTAAACTTGCTAGTCGCATGAAAATGCATTTCCAACTACACTACGTAGCCTCCAACAAGAAGCAGTGCCGAGGCCATGACGACTTTGTCCTGTCCCCCTCAAGCGCAGCTCCCTCGCGGCTGCCCTGCCAGGACAGAGCATCATCAAATCAAGGAACTGCTCCATATCTTTGAGCTTAAGTCTTGTGTTGTGCTGTGTCGGGATGTTGGGAGTGCTCGGGCAAAAGTGGAGTGGGAGTGCCGCTCAGGGCTTTGTCACTCTGAAGCTTCTTGCGGAAACATCTGTCACAACACCAGGCCAGGATCCCACGGGGTCATGCCCTGCCGACTCGCGCTGAATGGTACGACTCGCCATACCAACACGAATGTGATCCGAAACTCCCTCCCCCCGCCCTTGTGGATCCTACTGCAAGCGTGGTCTTCCGTTCGTCAGACCGTTTCTGAATTTGAATTCTAGATAACCATCCCGCTGAGCTCTACAAGGCAATATTCTGCCGCTACACACCATGACGACATTGTCCACACTGAAGCCTTTCAGACGGCATCGCATTGGATTACTCAAGCGTTTGAAGCTCACACCATCGCGCCTGATGAGATTTATCATCTCCTTCTTGGGGCCAATGCCACACCTGAGTCACATGCATGGTTCCGGAGAAAAATCGCATCCTTCATCACGGACCATCATGGGCCTGTTGGCTTCAATCCTGTGCTTATGCACCATGCTACCTGGGGTAGTGTGGCCACATGCGCCTGTGATTTACGTGAACTGCACGTATGCTAGACGTGAGGGAGATGCCGGGGTCTTTGATACACTGTCCGTTGTCAGTCAACTCCACATTACTTTGTAAGCAGGCACCCATCGGCCCATTCTCTCAGCAGGTGCAGGTGCCCGGAGACAATGGGTAACATCTCTGAACAAGTTTTCGTACCGAGATGAAGAGGCCTATTCATTCTCTTAATGCAAGCTCAATAACTGGCTTTCCCTGATTTTCTCGCTGGTCTTCGTCCTGCCGGCATGTACGGCTTGCGCTGCAATGCTTGGGCTTCTTGATTCATGATGGTGCTGGTCTCTGGCTGCTGCACCTCTCCTGCCTGTGACTTTGTCAGCGCGGCAATTTACCAAGAGTCATGTAGTCGGATCCACCCAAGGAAATCACCCCTGCAATTCGGTTCCTTATTCCTCAGAAGAAGGCAGGCAAGTCGATAACTAGTCAGATTCTGCTTCTTATCACCGTTGTTGTTCAGCGTGATGCTTCAGATGCTGCAGGCATCGACCCGAAATGCAGGCTGTCCTGGAACTGGAACACGTTGCTGGAGGAGTGGCTTCTTCTGAAGCCATTCTTGCCTTCCTGTTGACACAAACCAGGACATGTGTGGGATTCAGCAACCCGGCACATGCGTGGTTAGCAAATGTGGGTTCTGTGGCTCCAGGCCCTCTTGACGAAGCGCAAGTCGATGTAATCGGCGAGAGTATTCACCTTCAGCGGTTCAGAGCTCCACCAAAGTGGCAAGAGAGCCCCATACATGAAAGCAAAATTAATCTGATATGCCTGGTGGTTAAATGCTCAGTCTGCTTACTGGCTGCAAATGAGCCAGCACCCTCGCAAGCTTTTCTGCTGCCGCTAACTGTTTGGACAAGCATTTTGCTGTCCACTAGCTCGCGAACCCTGCATGCATCAAATCGCTCACATGAAGCCACGTGACGAACTGATTCATGTCTTCCTCAGAGTATGTAGTCAAACCCAACCTTGGAGGCAGGTAGGCATTTACGCTACTGGGGCAAAAATCAGGAAGAGAGGTGGGCGAATACTTGGTGAGGCCGTTCCCGGGTCCTTAAACAAGCTTCATGATATCCTCTGAAGATCGTCCCAGAAACGCCTCCACTGTGTTGACCAGCATCTTTCCTGTGCAGCTGTAATCATATTGCAAAACAAGAGCAGCCTTCCATGATCTTCCATGCAGTGGAGGCAAGAGGTGAGAGCAAGCGCACCCAAGCAGCGGCACAATGAAGATTACACCGATGCCTCTTCTGAAGTCACGTTTACAAGTGGAACTAATTCATATCTGTGAGTGCTGGCTGGCCGTACGCGGGTTGCTTTACAGTTTGGAACCTATCTTCACATCAAGCAAACGATTCTCACGGGGTCACGTGCTTTTCATTGCACTTCTCTGGATCTTGACCTTACGCTTCTTTCACCTTTAGTCATTTGGTGCTTGCTTTTGTCGTTGTTTACTCTTGGTTGCTGCCTTCAGCTGATTTAATGGACACGAACGCTAACCAAGCTACTTCCTTTTCTTTCTTCGGACCGATGCCTACATGAAACAGGTGTTTGCAGAGCATGTCTGCAACATTCTAGTCGTCGTAAGAAACTGGTGGTGATACTCCCGACGCCTTCCAACCTTGGTTTGTCTTAACGGGAGAGCTGGAATGACCGGGAATGAGGGCTCCCAAAACGCATGCCCCTTCATATGTCAGCCCTTAATGCATAGTTTGCGTAGTCAGCAAGGTTCCCACTGTTGTGACATCCTGGCCCCGGCTGTAGCTTCTGACTGGCATTTTGACTCATGATCCCCCACCTCTTAAGGGGTGGGGGGGTTAAGAAATGCCGAAAGCATTTCCGGACCCGCCCCCCCCAGTAAAATCAAGTTACATGGTACGCAAGCTTTCCGAGGTGGGGGGGTCAGGGTGTGTTAGCAGATGTTCGGGGTGATGGGGGTCATGGGGGTGCTACCCTGATGCTGGATGCGTTCATTCTCTCTCCCTCACGTGTTTGGCTCACTCACTCTCGGTCCCGCACAGACAGACAAGCACGCCCACACGCACACAGATGCAAGCAAAGTGAGCAGCGGCTTTCACGACTTTTTTTGCACCGTTCCCCCACGGCGGCGTGACGAGTGCTGAAGCGAAGGCCCCATCCTGGCACAGGCAATGTTGAACCCAGAAATTCCAGAAATGCGGAACAGAGGACAGCGGATGCAACGGTCCTCGATGTCTTTGACACCGGCATCAGCACACCAGCCTGTTGCGAGCGAGATTGTTTCAGGGTTGGGGGCTAGGGCATGTTAGGGCAGAACATGGCAGAACAACAACCGAGCCCCGAACGCGGCAGACTCATGAGGTCGATTTGGCCCACGAGGTTGGAAATAGAGGTTTTCGCATCCGGCACGCCCGGCATTAATGACCTGAGCCTTGTGAGCACCGCAGCCCCAAACTGTTTTTGAGACTGACCCGCCAGGGCAACATCCAGCATCTCGGGCGCCCTCCGGACGACCTCCTCCCAAAGGAGCTTGTTTTTGGTCTTCGGCACCTGGACATAATTGTCGCAGTCCAGGAACGACAAACCAGAACTCGTCCAAAGGGCTGGAAGCTCACGAAGGAACTGCTGAATGCACTTGGTGCCTGCAATGGTTCTGGTAAAGCTGCTTGCCGTGTACATTGTCTGGCCGCTGGGAATGGTCACAGTTGCATCATCGGAGCCCTGCGGCTCAGGAACCGGAGCTTGCCCAGCAAGAAGCTCAGGATTTTCACGAATCTTTTGGATGCACTGGAGGACCTCGGGCGCGAACCAGAGCAACGTCTTGTTGGCCGTCACCCCGATCTGCTTCACGGGCACCTCTGCCAAAATGGAGTTGATGGGGTCCAGCAGCAGCAACGGACTCAAGCAGCAGCAGAAGTACTTTGCACAGTTGGCATCGTCGGTGTCAACGTACGTCAAGTGCATGAGCCGTACCCGCGAAGTGCAGGTCGCCGGCAGGCTACCTCCTCCGGGCTTGCTGACCCTATTTTTTCGAGTCGCATCATCCTTGCCTTTCAGCTTGGCCCCTCGGTAGATGGACTGGACTAGCCCGAGACGCAGCTCGTTGCCTTCCTCGGCTTTGTACAGCAGCACTTGCGGCCTCTCCGAGTTTTGCCCCTGGTGGAAGTGCGTGACCTGGAAGAGCTCATTGCACTGGGCGACGGGGACGGCCTGCTTGACCCACTGCACCACTTTGGACTGAACCTGCATCCATCCACTCCAGCGACTCTGGCGAGTCCCGTCCAGAGTCCCAGCCTGACGAGCCAGCGCTAGCTCGTGCTGCAGCATCTGCCATCGCGGCAGCTTCTTTCCATCCTCGGACTCCGTACCGACAATCTGGGCAGCCGACAACATGCCTTCCTGTAGCCGCACTTGTTGAATGTACTTCTGCAGAGGCGTCTGGAGGCCATGCACGCGAGCAAGGCAGCTTGCATAAGTCATGGAGTTTGCAGCTTCCATGTCGTACTGCTCGGTGTCACTGAGCATGGCCACGATCTGGCGAAAGGAGACATGATCAGCATGGATGCTTGGGATCACCTGCTTGTCAGCACCTGAACTGCCTGCTGCATCATCTGCGATGGCCGAGGCTTCTGCCGCCAATGTTCCCACCGCCGGGGCCTCGACTTGGCTGAGCAGGTTCAGGATTTCGGCCTTCTGGTGGGCATGGTCCTCGGCCGACTGCAATGCCTGCGAGGCCTCGTCCTCCTCCTCGCCTTGGTCCTCCATGGCATCACTCTCAGCAAGGAGCTCTCCATCGTCGCAGTCGAACCCATCCGAGCTATCCAGCCAAGATCTGCCTTCGGTCCGCCACCAGTTCTCCAGCTCCTGCCTGATCTGCTGTGGTTTCCGGTTCACCGATGTCCAAGATTGCCATAAAATTGCATGGTTCAGAGCCTCCTGTGAGATCTTGGCGGTCATGTCAGCAGACACCTGCTCGCACTTGCACGAACGCTTCTCAGGTTTGCTGGCGCCCTTGGCATGCTCGAGGTGGTGTTTGTGTGTCCCAACCAGAAGATCCCTCAACGAAGGTGTTCCCCTGTAGCCCTTCTTGATAGAGCTAAAATGAAGCTCGGCAGCACGCTCTGCAAACCGTGATGGCAAGACACTGGCTTCATTGGCTCCAAAGCGAGCGAGCAAGATGGCGTGGCCAAGCAGCTGCAAACCGAGCTTCAAGGTCTGGGGCGGCAGGAAGTATTTCTGCCACTGGGATCGCCACAGCAACTTCGCGCTCTGGTAGTTCAAGAGCAAGAGGTAGTACGCTGCAAAGGCGGCATACATTCTCTCAGAGGCGCTGTTCTTGTCTCCCCCAAGCGTCGCTGAAGACACCAAAGCGCCCACGAGGCAATACAAGTGGTTGCCAGGATGATTCCAGCGACTGCTCAAACGCCGGCTACACATTCGCTGCAGTCCCTGCTTATCTGACTGTTCGTCTGCAAGGACGAAAGCACGGAGAGGGAGTTGCATCTCCAGCATTCCGATCGTGTCGGTACCTACCGATCCCCATGTCACCGTGCGGGACCCCGTGCAATGCTGCAGGGAGAAGCGCTTGAACCAATGGAGAGGGTCTTGACTGCCGTGGAGGTAGAAGCCCTTGTACCGGAGAACGCCGTAGCCGAAGAACCGGGCTTCAGGGAGGAAGACCTGGTCGCAGTCACGGAAAAACTCGAAGCGTGCCATCTCATCCTTGCTGAGTTGGGCCAGAAAGGCTCGCCCAGTGAGGAGGTTTGTTCCCCCCCCGTCAAAGCTCGCCCCAAGGGGTGGGATGTTGTCGTTCTTTTCCGTCAGCTTCCGAAGGATCTGTCCCAAGCAATCTAGTTGGTGCTCCGCCTTGTCCGTGGCTCTTGGCTTGACGGGGAAGCACATGACATCGAAGCTCTGTTGGAAGGTGTCGCTGCGAGAGATGATGAAGTGCATGGTCATCTTGGAAAGATGCTCGCTGGGCAGGCTCTTCATGTCGGTCAGCCGCGACCGATCGTCGCCCTCGGCCCAATAGCCTCCGATGACGCACTCAGGCGTCTCCGGAAAAAGGCCTGTCATGAGGCTGTATGTGGGGTGCATGTATGTCTCGTCTATGGAGACGAAGAAACTTCGGCATCCCTGGACGTTCAAATGCTGTATTGTCATATCACAGTTGTGGCTCAAATCATCTAGATTGAGGTTGGCCATAAAAGGCCACGGCACAAGTGGAAGCCTATAATCGATGGATGGCTGGACGTTCTGCGACGCCACCCCGAAGAAGGCCAACATCTTTCTCGTGCCGCTACTCCAGCCCAGCTCGAAAAAGACCTCGCGGGCCGTTTCCTCCGTGAAGAATTCCGAGGTCCCCGGCCGAATCTTCCCCCCCCTTGCGATTTTCTCCTGCGAAGCGAAGAAGGAGGCCATCAAACAGCGAACCATCTTGTGGGCATGCAGCCCACCAGCAGCTATTTTCGCAGCCATGCTCAGGTCGGAGTGCTGCACCTTCCCAGAGATCAAACTGGCCTGGAAGCTGGCACACAAGGTTTGGTAAGCTGCACGTTCCGAATCCGGACCGGCTTTGTCA